GCCTCGGGAAGGTCACTCCCGGCATCCTGAGGTAACAGAAACGGTCCTTCCATCCCTTGTGGGACGAAGGCACCTCCGAGAAAAGCCTCCATGCCGGCAATTGTTGGAGGTTGGCGAAGCCCTCGCTATTGGCAGCCCCCCCTCGACACAGGTTGAAAGATAGGAAAAATTGATCCAATGTGGGGACGACCCCTCGGCTTCGACATTGCGAGAGAAACCCTGTGATATACGAGTGACTATTCGGGGTCAGCTGGCAAGGAGCGAGACCCACGAACCGAAGGTATTCCACCAGAAAAGGGTGGAGCGGGAATCGGAGACCCAACTCCACCGAAAGGATGTGCACCGCGTAACAGCCCTCTGGAGGATGCAATAGCACATCGTCAGGCCCCGGAACCACTACCTGTGCCGACGGGCCAACCAACAATTGAGTTTTGAGATACTCCGCCTCCCCGGCCTTCGTTTTCAATTCGAGGGCGGCGGTGTTGAGATACGAGTGGCCCTCGGGTATTCCCACCGGCTGACCCGCGTCAATGGCAGCCTGCTTCTTTTTCGGGGCCGCCTGGGTCTTCTTCTTCTTTTTCCCGGGAGCGACGCTTATCGGTTCCGGATCTAGGGGCCGGGAGCTACTGGCTTCGCCGGCGCCACGGAGGGGGAGTGCGGCGACGGTCACCTTCAGCCGCTCTTTCTCCTCCTCTTCCTCGGCGACTTGGAGTGCGAGGGCAAGCTCTTCGTCTTCCTCCATCTGCTCGAAGTCCTCCGCCTCCAACTCAGTCCGAAGGGTGTCTTGGACTTCCTCGGCGATGGCAGCGTCATTGTTAACCGACGATTGGTCACTTGAGGACTCAACCTCCGAATAACTCTCCGATTGGACCGGGGCCTCCACGGAAATATCCTGGGAGTCGCTGGCAGAAGACATCTTATCGACAGCAGGGAAAGGGAACAATGTAAGAGAACTAACCGAAGGCTCCTAAGTATTCCCTAACACTAGATCTAAGGCCAGTGAAGCGAAATACGCCAAGTGTATGAGAAAGGAGGAAGAACTGACCTCAAAAATTGCGTTTGGTCGAAGGCTGAAGTTTCTCTCTCTAGAAAAAATGGCAGAGCTCCGCTATCTCTCTAAAGTTCGCGCAAGAACAAATGAGCTCAAACTCAGGGTATTTATAGGCAGATGGGCCTCGAGAACTGGGCCTCAACTCGAAAGCCCATCATTACAGGCCGCCGATTCGACCAATGGAGGACCGCCGCTCCCCCCAGCCAATAAGGACACTCCACGTCAACCCCTCTTCCAACGGCCATATTGCAACGGCTATATTTCGGCAACACGGGGGTGCCCTCGAAGGATAGCCTCCGGCTATCACCCGCCACATCCTTCGGACAACGAATTCCACCAAACGCCTTCGAGCCGTAGCAGCATAAGCCTTCGGCTTATCAATGTTGCCACCCCTCGGGGGCTCATCAACTCATCATAACTCCTTCAGCCCGAACTCGCCTTCGGCCTGAAGGAGTGGGGGACTGGGATACACCCCTCGGGGATCATACACAACAAAAATTTCTTCATGCAACTATTTACAATTGGCGCATACGGCCTCCGGGCAAACATCACAGTACAACCCCTCGGGTATATGCCTCAACATACCCTTCGGCAGTGGCCGAGTATCAAAAGGTTTCCACGAGCCGCTTGCGGAAATGAAGCAGCCCTCATCACAACACATACGGATATTATTTACGCCTCCCTCAGAAAACCCCCGACATGTGGGGGACTGAGGAGAGGCTCCGGCGTTCATACAAGTGTTATACTTCCTTCAGAAAACCCTCGACATGTGGGGGACTGAGGAAAGCCTTCTGCGACCATACAGGTGTTAAACTGCCCTCAGAAAACCCTCGACATGTGAGGGACTGAGGGTAGCCCCCGGCGAACGAGCGAAGGTTATGAATACCTTCCCTCAGAAAACCCTCGACATGTGAGGGACTGAGGGGAGCCTTCGGCAATCAGCAGAAAGCAAGTTCTCGAGCAAAGGCGCCCAACTAAACGATGGAGCCTCCGGAAGAATCAACACATCTACTCCTTTTCCCTCAAGTACCTTTCGGCAAAAGGAGTGAGGGACTCCTGATGGAGTATATGGTCCAGGAACCCCCGGCCCATAGACTCCTACTTCTCCTACACAAGTCCGTTGGGCTCAGGGAACAACTCAGGCCCAAATACAACGGCCCAAGCCTCAAAGTAGCCCAGAATACACGCTGGGGTGCCTTCGGCCTCCTTGGCCGAAGGCTCCAAAAATCACAGAATAGCCTTCTCTGGCATAAAAAGCTACTGAGAGAAAACGGCAAAAAACATGAGCCTTCGGCATTTTCATGCCTTCGGCTACACAGGGAGCCCTCGGCTACACCAGGAGCCTTCGGCCGAACTGGCTCAATCGTCGAAGATTCCTTTTGGAGACAGCCAACCACCGCATTTAATGCCACGTCACATCCACCAGCCGCATTCAATGCGGTAAACGTACCACTGCCGGTGCCAACCGGTTGATGTGACCCTTCGGCCGTTGGATTATTGACACGTGTCCCCTCATCGCATTTATTGCTGCTATAAATAGCGGCCCATTTCTCCTTGTAATGGACATGATCTACATCCCAACTCCACATCTCGAGTTCATTTAATAAAATCGACTCTCTCTCCTCCTAGTTTGCTCTGGCTTCTCTCTAGTTATTCCCACAATAACCCCTCGGATAAGATACCCCCCGGGTAGACTGTCCATCAATAACATACTCCCTCCGTCCCATTGGACTTTGTCAACTTTCCCTTTTGGTTGTCCCAAAAAACTTTGCCACTTTCCTATTAAAGCAACTAATTTGTGGTTCTGCACATTTCCTTCTCCTCTGCACAAATTTCAACCACATAGTTTTTACTATTCTAATTTTTCACCTACTTTGCACTTGGCAAAGTCTACCGGGACGGAGGTAGTATAATTCAATCATTACTTACGTGATATGACTCAGAGACAAAGCAAAGACAATATATCTTATTGTTACGAATGTATATTCAATAGCCGATTCTTTTCTCGTGAGGAATTCTGATATTAAGCCAGGTGAGAGAGGAACTACAAAATTCCAGGATAAGGCAACGAGTCTCATTTGAGGCACCCACCAGCGCGAGAATCCGTCGACTAAACCCATATAAAACAAGTTTATAATATAATTGACTTACATAACAAATCTATAGCTCTATTAGCTTAGTTTCATTTTAACTGTCATTTTTCTAAGCTATATACTATCTTCCGTTTTTTTAATCGCAACATGTTGAATTTTACACTATTCACATGTTCTACTATGACTACATTTTACGCTATTATTTTATGAAAATTATTTTTTTTTAAAAATATTGTTCAATTCATCTCATTACAAATTTTCAAAATCTGATTTTTAAGTTTTTCTTACTAATAGAGATTAAGATATAATTACGGTCAAAGACGTGCGTTGGCAAGTGTGAAATGTTGACCGTTGCAACTATAAAAGAACGGAGGAAGTATGAAATATTCAAATAGGGTATTGTCCCAAAACGATTTATTACTCTCTGCGTCCAAAAAAGATTAGTCCATTTGACCTTCTTGATCAATGTTGTTAAATTTTAGATAATGATTTCAGGCATTATATTTGTTTGTAGTTTATAAATTTTGTACTTTCATGAAAGATTTTTTTAAAGAATATAATCATATAATTTTTGTATTTTAAATAATTTTGCATGAAAAATATCATTGGTCAAACTTGACCACCATTGATCAAGAAAACTCATTTTGGCCAATATTTTTGGGACGAAGGGAATATTCCATTTTGTATATAGTTGAGCTTTGACCCCTTGAGTCGTTTTTCTGTCTCCGTCACTGATTGCACATAGTATGCGAGAATACATGCAAGAGTATTTTTTTACGGTGCTTATTTTTTTGACAATTATTAGCATAGTTTTTTAGAAATTTTAAACAAGCAAGTCTGAATAACTTAAATCAATGCCAACTATGAAGCTTTTACCCATTTCTATGGGTGCTTCTATTTCAATTTTTACTCTCAACTCTGCTATGTTTTTTTCTTTGTTCATTGATGTGTTCACTCTTAAGTAAAAGTTTATTGCATGCCCAATGTGGGTCCTATCTTTGTTTTGGTATACTTTATTTTGTTTGTAGTGAATTCAAAATGAACCAAACCATTTAAAATAAATAAAAAGTAGACTGAAAAATCTATTAAAACATGAATTACACACTATCATTTCAATTTTATAAATCAAACTTCAAACCAAATCAAACTCAACCATTCCAAAACTGAAGCCATACAGGAATGCATTTGGTTTCACTTTGGTACTGCTTTCCTTAATCTCTTTTCTTAGTTGCCAGTTGGATTTGCAACATGGAAAATTCTACACTAGTCACATACTCTATTTTGATTATTTTTTATTTATTAATGTATATTTTTCTTCAATAAATATTGTTGAATTTGTCTCGTTCCGAATTTTCATTGTCATATATGATTTTAAGGGGAATTTTGACTTTGCTCCCACTGTTTGAGTTATTCAGGCTTTGCACCTCATTTTCAAAAATTTGGACTTTGTACCCATTTTATAGCATGTTGTAAAAAATTATGAATGAGGTGCAAACTTGGATTTTGAGTTATTGACTAATTGTAACTTCAAACTATTGTTTAAATTAATAAATCCGTTTCTTTTGTACTTAAAAGCTGAAACACTGCATATTAGGACATGTTGGGGCAGAAACGCCGGAAACCAAACACTGCATATTAATTTGAATGTTTCAATGAAATCACCGAATTGGACTGTTTAAGTTGAAATTTCATCAATTTAAAGAGATTGAGGCTATTGTATTAATTTGAATGTTATGACTTATGAAATCTATTCTAAACATAAACAACATTTAGATATTGAAGCACATGGACTCCACTATAGATTTGTCGAGTATTTTATGGGCATGCATTACGTTTACTGAAAAAAAATGCATTACCTTTACTGAAAATGATTGACGGTGGAGTATATCTGGGTCGTGTGGCTCTCTACACTTGTGCTTCTGTGGTCTTAAATTCAACTCAAGTTACGAGTACAAGTGTCTAATTGTAGCACCACTCATTTTATATCATTACCACTTGAGCAACGCACCGCAATTCCGCCAGCTGCTATATCCCGGCAGCATCCCACGGTGAACATGCACTCACAAACCGCAAATGTGCGCCAACCTATGAAGCACGGATACTTCCCTAGGGTAGCGTATCGGCGTATCGGATACGTTCCTGTATCCGATACTCTAAGATACCCGTACCGTACGTTCTCGGGCCGTATCTGCAAATTTTAAAAGTTTCCATATTTTTTTGTAATTTTTTGAAAGTTTCCGATACTCGTATCCTGACGGATACCCGTATCAACTTCTTTTTAAAAAAAAATCCCAAAAATTACTTAATAAAATTCTAAAAAAAAAAATCTAAAACTACATTTTACTTGGTAATCAAATAATGGGCCCACATGGCTATATCCGAATTAAGTCATTAACTCATACTCCGAAATGGGTACTTGCACTTTTAATTTCAAGATTGTAGTTGTTTCACTTATTTCTCATTTTAAAATAATGACTTATTGACTACATTTATATTTCGAGATATACAAGTGTATATGGGAAATATTATGAATTTATTACTAAGTATCTTAAAAAAGGAAAATGCTTCAATGCAATGAATGAGGAGACATCAAGGATATTATATATATATATATATATATATATATATATATATATATATATATATATTAAAAGAAAATGTATTTTTAATATTTATAAATAGACCCCTATAACTTTTAATATTTGTAAATACACCCTCATAACTTTTAATATTTATAAATATGGCCCCGTATCCGTATCCTACTTTTTTTGGTTTTGACGTATCCTCGTACCCGTTTCCACGTTTCCGCGTTTCTGCGTACCGGTATTGGTGCTACATAGGCGCCAACAATAACTTTGTTTTTGTTTTTTTATTGTCAGCGACAGAATCATGTAACTGATGTTTAAAAGAAATGTAACTCGCGTTGATAACAAATGTAATTGAAAACAAATCGAAACGTAACTTGTCTAATACAGATTATAAGAAATAAAACATTGATTTTAATAAAAACAAGGAGTCTAATTGCTCGATTACTTTACCTAAATAGTAAATATGTTTTCTTTTTAATATTAAGGTCATAAAAATGTTCTTTTAAATCTTGTTTTGGGAGAAAATCATTTTTTTTGCCAAAAAAATCATTTTGTTTTTGCAAAAAAGCGACTTTGTTTCAACAGAAGAGGTTTGCTTAAATAGTGAATACATTTTGTTTTTAGTATTAAGGTCATTAAAAAAAATTGAAAAATTATTGTTTTTGCAAAAAAAAAAAACTTTTTTCCCCCAAAAAGTTCATTTTTTTGCCAAAAGATTTGTTTTTTTGTTGTTGCAAAACAATGACTCTTTTGTTTCCATAGCAGGACTTTATGTTGTGATAAAATTGTATAAAATGCAACTTGTTGAGACGACAAACTCAAATATAATTGGCGCATAGAAAGATGTAATTCATGCATAGAAAGATGTAATTTACACACAAAAAGATGTAACTCGCACATAAGAATATGTAACTCCATATACGTACTATCAAATGTAACTTCTTATAATGTTTATAAACGTAACACACATATGAAAAATGAAATCTCATATTTTATCAAATTTAAATTGAAATAAACAAACTTAATGTTTTAAAAACACTAAAACATACAAAAGTGATAAGAAATTAATTATAGAAAATGGTATGAATATGAAAATTATTTTACAAAAAAAGTGTATAAATGTAAAAAAGAAATACACAAAAAAGGGAAAGTTACATTGCTGATGGTATATCAAGAGTTTTGGTATATCACGATATAATTCGTTCGTTATTATAGGATACTACGATATACGTAGTACTTTTATAATAATCCATTTCCTACTACTGAAAGAATCAGGATATTTTTTTGAAAGAAAAGAATCACAATTTAAACAACGTTAACCAATGATCATATTTGAATAAAATGCGTGATATTTTATGGTATTAGGGAGTCTTATTATGTAATACTAGATGAGGCCAATAAGCAATAAATTACTTGTAAATATAAAGAAATGTTGTAAAATAGATAAAGCAACACGTATATTGTTTTTAACAGAAGTAAATGAAGATAAAAAATTAAAAGTTATTGTATACCTATTGTAAACTACATTTAAACTCTTCTTAGTCGGTTTTCGGTTATCATCGCATATAATACAACTCAACCCAGAGGGGGATGTTACCCACAGACAGCGCCGTAAAGTTGACCATGGGTGAAAATAGAAAGATGTAAAAAACACCAACTCTCTCAAAAGATTGTGCTCGCCTCTTTTCAATGCTCATCGTGTAAGGATGTTTTCTTTTGGACTAAAATTTGCTGGTCTGGTCTGGTCTGTATAAGTCTAGCCTGATTTGTTTAAGACTGGTCCGGTCTGGTATGATAAATGTCTGGTCTCTGTGTATTTTATAATTGTCCAAATCTGGTCTGGTCCGTTTAAGTCTGGTTTGGTATGATCTGGTCTGCTCTGGGACTAAAAACAGTCCAAAAAAACATTCTAAGTATCAAAGGAAATTGTCTATGCTAAAAACACTGTCTTGGACAAATATACCCTTATACCTATTGGAATGTTTTAATTCATAATAAAATAATAAAAAATAATAAAAATTCGTAAAATATACCAAACAATTAATAAAAATATTTTGAATAATAATAAATTTAAAAAAAATAAAAAAATAAAAATTAAAAAATTTTGAAAAAAAATCAAATTTTTTTTTGTCACCGCCGCCTCTGCCGCCCCAGCACCACCACCTCTAGTCATTTGGGGAAAAATGCCAAATTTATTATAAATTCCTTATTTTTGGCATAATTGAGAATGATTTAAGATGACAGAAAAAAATATTGGCATTGTCAAAGAGAAATATGCCATATTTTTGGCATTTTTCGAAAAAAATGGAAGTTTGTAGGAAACATGGCATTTTTTTAACGGTCAGAGGTGGTGGTGCAGGGAGGCGGTACCACCACCTCCTGTCACCGGGGTAAAAAATGCCAAAAAAAATTATTAATATCATATTTTTGGCAAAATTCAAAAGGATTCAAGTTGATAGAATGAAAATGTTGGCATTCTCATAGAGAAATATGCCATTTTTGTGGAATTTAAAAAAAAGTGGCATTTTTTACATCGGTCGGAGGTGGTGGTTCAAAGAGGTAGTACAGGCGGTGGGAAAGATATCCATATTTTTTTTTAATTTTTTTTATGGAGTTTTACTATTTTTTATTAATTTTCAAAAAATAAATTAAAAAAAATTCTTATTTTTTATTTTATAAAAATTTTATTAATTTTTTATTATTTTTCTACGAATTATTGAAATTTTTTCGGATTTATTATGAATCAAACATTTAATTATGACTTTTAGCTATCTTTTACTAATATTTAAAGGAGGAGTAAGAATGGAAGGAAGAAATTGGTATGTTTCCAATAGGACCACTATGGTCCTATTTTGGAATAAAAACATAGCAAGTCCTATTTTGAGTTTTTGTCATAGTTTTAGTTCTATTTGTAGTAATTTCTAAATTTTAAATTATACTACGTACGTAGTAGTAAAATACAAGTACAACATTCGCTAATCAAACTGGATCACAGTTGAAGAAATGAAAACATACTAAGAGCATCTCCAATGCTATAATGTGCACGGTGCACATGTGGCATGAGTGATAGCCACATAAATATTAGCATATAAATTATCTCTCTCCAAATTTGAATGATTTTATACAATTTTGTTAAGTTTTTCCCTGCAATGTCAACAACAATGTCAACATCTAGACGGTCTCCTTGACATTGTGGAGAAAAACATTCCAAAACTGTATAAAATCATTCAAATAAGGAGAGAAAGAATTTATTTAGTAATATTTATGTGGTCATTTCTCATGTCACGTGTGCACCGTGCACATTTTACCATTGAAGATGCTCTAAATGGGATAAAAATTTCAATCCAATTAATTAAGCATCATTAAATTAAACTAGTACATGATGTGATGATGCCTTTCTTTCGTCCCCTAAATATGCCTAAAGCTCAATTAGTTATGGAGACAATTAAGGAATTAGAATTTCACAAGACTTCGTCCTATCAAAAAGAAAGGTTCGTTACGCTATGTTGTTTGGGACAAGGAATTAGAGATTCCTTTGGGACGAGTAAATTGAGTTTTGTTCCTGAGTTTTATGTCAATTTTATATGTAATATTTAGTTTAAATTTTGTATTTCACTTCATTTAATTTTAACACTTAATTATTACTTATTGACATTTGTGGTTCTTCTGTCCAATTTTCCGACATATATTTGACCGATTTTAATTAATCACTAAAAAGAAAAACAATATATAGACGAAAAATAAGTGTCACATATCAAATGTGGTCAAAGATGCAGACCACTTTGGAATTAGTACAATATTCATACTCTCAAAGGATAAAAGCGAAATATATTTCCTTTACATATGCTCCATATAAGGCCATTAGTAATGTTCTCCTACAAGCTAAGTTGAAAGGGAAAATTGTTGTGGCAAGCTAGGAATTGAATGAGAATCTCAGCCACCTACATCCTCCCTCAGTTTCTATGATTGATCGTATCCTCCATTCATTCCTATATAAACGTTTTTTCACCACGCCTCTCCAGAACCCACATCCTCAATTAATTGGTAGACGAACCAGTTCCTAATATTAAGCACGAGCGTGGCGAGAGGTAAAAATTGGGGTGGATCAGTACCATAAATTTTTACACAAAAATTTTTATTCTTAAAGCGAAACATGTTTCATATTTGAGGTAGGCCGGGACTCAGTTAAGCTAGCCCCCTACTTCCGCTATGTGTTACGTCTCGTTGCGGTCATTGAGTGCATTGATCTAGGGTTCAATTCTAATTAACCCTTGCAATGATAGTGTAGAAGTTTTGTTCAATGTGGCCTCTTCTCGATATTTGAGCAGGGGCGGAGTCAGGACACTGGGTCGGACTGACCACTTTTTAAATTTGGACTGGATCAGGATCAGGATTGGCTCCCTAACTACACCCTGTATCCGAAACCATGGGCGGAGCTAGGAGTCTACTAGGCCCGACTAGTCCCAAAATCC